AAACGCCCCTGCCCCCCCGCCCCCCCCACCGCCGGGATCGCGCCTCACGGTTCAGATGAAAACAAAATGATGGATGGGTTGGGGGAGACGGCGACCCCAGAGTGTTTTCAGCGGGTGGTGCGAATCTACACCCCAAACGCCGTCAAGTGTCCCTGATCGAAAATGAAACAAAATTCGGAGCCTTCCCCATGCAAGAAGAGCAGGCGTTGGTCGGCACAGTCAGTCGGTCGACCCTGAACATGTGCGCTACAAAGGAGATCAAGCAGGCTGCCGATGCCCCTGCTCTTCCAGCTGAAGCGGACAGAAATGCCTGCCGCGGGAGGTTTTTGGGGGTGCCCCGATCCTCAGAGGCTGGAGATGGGGGTTCCTCCGTTGGAGCAGCCTTTGGTCGCCGCACCGCCACGAGAAGGAGAAATAGAAGAGCCGGGTGACGGCCCGGACGTGTCCTCTCCCAGTGCCTCCACAACCATGCTCCTCTCTTCTTGCAACTCCTGCGAGTGGGGGGGGGGGGAGGGGGGGGGTTGCGTGTCATATATCTCCACGGCGGGTGATTGGTGATGTAATCTTTGCCCCTAAGTCATGTTCGACCCACAAGAGGACGGTCCAAAGGGAAGAGGTAGCGTAGCGTCTCCCTGCCCCCACCACTTTGGGATTGGTTGGGCGAGGGAGGGGCTCAACAAAGGCTTAGCCTTGGCCATGTTCACCCCGTGGGCTTCGCGTTGTGCCTCTCAACACCCATGTCACGGTCAAGGGGTACGCCAGACCATTCCAACTCCATTACAACAATGTGGTACGGAACGACTCGACTACGGTACTGTACACCGAATCAAACGAGCGGGGGCCATGATGAAGCCGAACGATGTGCCTAAAATGAGCCTCTCGGCAAGTTATTTCCCACAGGCAGCCAGCTCCCCACAAGTTATTCGGTACCCTCCCCTCCTCCTCCGCCGGAGTTGGAGGAATCGCGAAACACAAGCCCAAACTCTCGGCGTGTCATTGCGTTTTTTCGCGCTCGCCGCGCGCCTACAATACTGCACAGCAGTTGTCTGCACCCCTACCACGGTGGTCAGCGCGCTCCACTTGACGATGTACCCGTTTGTGTGCTGTTTTAGTATAACAGCGTGTAGTATAAAAGTGGATTGCGAGGTAGCGAGGGCTTCGTACCGGCACGTGAACGCTTGTCGGCGTGCTGATTTACTGTGTTCTTCTCGTTCTGTCTACAGGCTACTCGTTTTAACACCAACAAGGCCTGGCCGCACGCGCCTCATGCTGTCTCGTCCTGTTCACCGGTCACATTCAAGACAAAAGTCGCCCGCACCTACAGTATGAATGCCTGCCTGCATGCCTGCATGCCTGCATGCCTGCATGCCTGCATGCCTGCCTGCATACCTGCCTGCCTGCGGCGCTCTCGCGTTGCCCTCACTTTCTCACTCGCGCTCACTAGGTGGCACAACAGACAGCACGCACCTTCACCGACAAGCTGAGCTGGTGCCCCGCTTCCTCCTTGAGCAGGAACTCTTCCGCGAACGACCACTCCCCGTCGCCCCTGCACAGCACCGGGAAGGAGCAGAAGAGACCCCCCGGCACGCCGAACGGGTTTCCGTCCGAAGCTACCCCCATCGAAACAACCGCCGACGGCGACGACGGCGACGCGTCACTCGCCGTTGGGCGCCCTAAAAAAAAAAAAAAAAAACAGTAACACCAACAACAGCAAAACACCAACAACGCAATTTCGTCAACACGACAGAAACTATTTACTACCGCGAAAATCGCCCCAGAATAACCAGAACGTGCCTTCCTTGTAGGAATATAGTTTTGTGTGTCGTTCTCGTCGGAGGGGAAATGGGATCTGAAGCTTGAGCGCGGGCAGCCGCCTAAGGGCGGGGGGGCGCTTGCACGGGAGGACCTTGGGGGGGGGGGGGGGAGGGGGGGGGCCTTGCATCGCAAG